CCTCCCAAGTAGCTGGGTCTACAGATGTGTGCCACCACTCCTGGCTACATTTTTTAAAATGTTGTAGATCTTCCCCAAACCCATAACCCCAGTCTAATTGTGAGGAAAGCTTCGGACATTTCCAGTCAGGGGGCAAAGTCGTGTGTTGTAGCCACGAGGTGCCTAAGGAGACCTGACTGACTGTCCTGTGGAATCCTGGTGGGGATCCTGAGATGGAAAAAGGACATTAAGGAAAAACTAAGGAAATCTGAATAATGCGGGGACTTCTGTTAATAATTTGTTCATTAATGTCTTATTGGTTCATTAATTGCGACCAGTGTACCATGCTGATGTGAGATGCCAGTGATGGGCAGAAATGCCAGAAGCAGTGCTACAGGAATAACCCTTAACCCAAAGGTGCAGGAGGGGTCCCTGCACGATAGTTCTGGGGTCTGTACACAGTCTCGGGGGTGCCTCCCTCAAAGCTTCACTCAGTTGGCACAAAGTTATGACCTGGTTACTGCCGTACCCTTTCTTTGCATTTTTTCCTTCCTTAAGTTCCCCTGGTCTCTGGGTCACCTTTGAGGGGGACCCACACTGAGACAACATGCAATAAATATTTATTGACTGAATTAATTCATGGATTAGATGAGTAAGAGTCCTGGCATTCAAAGAAATTATCATCCAAGAAGGAAAAGCATGTTAGAAATATATAGTCACTATTAACGAGATACAGGTGATAATTGATGAGAAATAACAGACAAAAAGCCATAAGCTTTCGGAAGAAGAAGTCATTTTAGACTTCCTTCCCCTTTCCAAGTCAGGGTCGGTTACCTGCCCGTGTGGTCTTCTGTGATCGAATACTCACCCTCGGCAAGTATGTGAGCTTTGAGGGCAGAGAATGGGCCGTTGTGTTCACTGTGTGTCTGCACACCAGGAAAGCCTGGGACACAGGCAGCCCTCCCCAGCGTGTCGGGGGGGGGTACGCTGGTTGTCGGGCGCCAGGGTTCAGTGGAAGAGTGGTCGGAGCTTGGGACAGAGCTCCAAATCCCACTTGGGTCCTTTCCTTGCTGTCTGACTTTGGGCAAGTGATGTGGCTTCTCCTAGCCTCAGTTTCCTCAGAGGTAAAATGAAGAAATTAAGGCATGTTCCTCAAGGTTGTTACATAAACTAAAAGAGGTAATTTATCGTAATATCGGCTTCCTTGTGAGGACTCAGATGTTCGCTTCTTTTGTGGGAAAAGATGGCATTTGAGATTGGGTTGAAATTGGATAAGAAAAAGTACAGGAGAAGGACATTGACGTTAAAACAAACGAGCAAGCACAGGAAGGTGAGCTTGGCGACCGCAGGGACTTAGCAGGGAGCTCGTCGGCCCGGACGTGAAGACAGGGGTGGGAAAATGAGGTTGCAGAGAAGCCAGACATGGAGATGCAGGAGTGCTGCCTCAGACGTCTGGACTTCATTTCCCAGCCGGAGGTGACTGGAATGGCGGGACTTTGAATTATGATTTGCAGTATCCTGAGGAAGGGTCAGAGTTGAAAATAGACTTGGGAGTGGTCCACATAACTTGCCATGAAAGTGGCAGAGCAGCCAGCATAGGCCACCACAGCAGGAAACGTAGAGTCGTGGAGGCTCCTTTCTACAGTCAGGGAACTTGGTTAGCATCGCCCTGTTAACACTAACTGTGCTGATTAACAGAAACACTAGAGTAAATTCTCTTCCCAGGTATTTCCCAAGTAGTGCACATCTTCCTAAAGTACACAGAGCAGTGTGGGCTGAAGGGAGCTGTCAGAGAAATCTCTTGCAGATAGTGTCGTTTGAGCAGATCCATGAAGCTAGGGAGGACTTAGGTCGGCAAAACAGGGAGAGCGGGTCCTGCAGGCCCAGGGAAGGAAGGAGACCGTCCTGGCTGAGAGCAAGCTTTGGGATCAAGAGGCATCGAGTCCAAATTCTGCTTCCACAACCTCCTAGTCTTGTCCTGGAGCGGAGGTCTAATGAAGTGGGAGTTAACTGTGGGCCACGAGGAGACGGAAGAGGCACTCAGGCAGAGGAAGCAGCGGTGGAAGGGAGAGCATCGCAGTGGTGAAGGGCTGGAAGAAGACACTGTGGCTACAGAAAACTCTGGAGGGGACGTTTACTGTTAAAAGAGGCTGGGGGTTGGGGGTTCAGGCCCCTCAGGTCTTGGAGGCTACTTCCAGGCTTTTGTCTTTTCTCTAAAGCAGATGGAAGCCACCAAAATGTTTTCAGCAGGGTGGTGACACACTTTGATTTGTATCTGGCGAAATCTTTCTGGGTGCAGCGAGGACAGTTGCCGGAGGGAGTGAGCCTGGAGGTAAAGGGATGGTCAGGGAGCTAGGATGGGGGGACCGTGGAGGCAGTGACATGGTGGGTTTCAGAGAGATTTGGGGTGTAAATTCAACAGGGCGTCATGGTAAATTGCAAGGAGAGGACGATGGCCAGGAGAACTGGTAGATTTCTGCATAGCTGGCTGGATGGCGGGCCGTGCAGTTTACTCGTGAACATGCTGGAAACCCCACAGTACGTTGTCATTATTTCTGTTTTAATCGTCAGTTTTTATAGAGATTTAAACAATTTAAAAAGGCATTTATGTATTCATCCACATAGTTGCCATTTTCTTTGTTCTCTTGTGTAGATCCGTGCTTCCATATGGCATTTATGTAAATATTACCTTTTTAAAAAACGTTTAATTTCCAGTTGTTCATTGCTAGCATATAGAAATACAGTAACTTAGTTTTTGGCTTTCTCTATTTGTATTTGCTTTATTATAGTTGCTTTTTTCTTTCATTTAGTTTATATTTTTTGTTTCTTTTTATTTTTGGTTGACAAATAATTGTACATATTTATGGAGATACAATGTGATGTTTTGATACATATCCACATTGTGCAATGATCAAATCAGAGTAATTAGCATATCCATCCGCTTAAACATTTATTATTTCTTTGTGATAAGAACATTCAGAAATCCTCTCTTCTAGCTATTTTGAAATATAGAATACATTATTATCAACTCTAGTCACCCAACTGTGCAGTAGAACACCAGAGCTTATTCCTCCGTCTAACAGTAGCTTTGTACCCACTGGCCAACCTTCCCCCATCCCCCAGCCCTCCAGCCCTCCCCAGCCCCCATTCCCTGGTAACCACTGTTCTATGAGATTAACATTTTTAGATTTCACATGAGTGAAATCATGTGGTATTTGTCTTGCTGTGCCTGGCTTATTTCACTTAATATAGTGTCCTCCAGTTTGATCCATGTTGTCACATGGCAGGATTTCATTCTCTTTCATGGCTGAATAGTATTCCATTGTGTATAATACGACATTTCTTTATCCATTCATCTATTGATGAGTACTTAGGTTGATTCCATATCTTGGCTATTGTGAATAGTGCTGCAGTGAACATGGGAGTGCAGATATGTATTTGATATACTGATTTCATTTCCTTTGGATATATACCCAATAGTGAGATTGCCAGATCACATGATAGTTGTAGTTCTTGGCACCTTTGTTGAAAATCAATTGATTATAAATGCATAGATATATTTCTGGGCTTTCTATTCTGTTCCATTGGTCTGTGTGTGTGTTTTTATGCCAGTACCATGCTGTTTTGATTACTATAGCTCTGTAGTATATTTTGAAGTCAGAGTAGTGTGATACCTCCAGCTTTGTTCTTTTTGCTCAAGATTGCATTGGCTATTCAAGGTCTTTTGTGGTTCCATACAGATTTTAGGATTGTTTTTCCCTATTTCTGTATAGAATGTCATTAGTATTTTGATAGGGATTGCATTAAATCTGTAGATAGCTTTGGGTAGTATGGACATTTTAACACTATTAATTATTCCAGTCCATGAACAACAGAATATCTTTCCATTTATTTGTGTCTTCTTCAGTTTCTTTCATCAGTGTTTTATAGTTTTCATTTATAGAGATTTTTCACCTGCTTGATTAAATATATTCCCAAGTATTTTTTTTTTTTTGTAGCTTTTGTAAATGTGATACTCAAAAATTTCTATTTCAGGCTGGGCACAGTGGCTCATGCCTGTAATCCCAGCACTTTGGAAGGATCACTTGAGGCCAGGAGTTAGAGACCAACCTGGGCAATGTAATGAGACCCCATGGGCTCTACAAAAAAAGAACCAAAATTAGACAGGCTTAGTGGCACATGCCTGTGGTCCTAGCTACTTGGGAGGCTAAGGCAGGAGGATTGCCTGAGGCCAAGAGTTCGAGATTACAGTGAGCTATGATCACTCCACTGCACTGCAGCCTACACAATAGAGGGAGACCCTGTCTCTAAAAAATGAATGAATGAATGAATGCACGCATTTCTTTTTCAGATAGTTGTGTATTGATTTTGTATGCTCCAACTTTACTGAATTTGTTTTAGTTCTAACAGTTTTTTGATGGAGTCTTTAGGGTTTTGTATATATAAGTTCATGTCATCTGCAAACAGGGACCAATTTAAGTTTTTCGTTTCTGATTTGGATGCCTTTTATTTCTTTCTCTTACCTAATTGCTCTGGCTAGGACTTCAAGTGCTATATTGAGTAGAAGTGGTGACAGTGGACATCATTGTCTTGTTCTAGATCTTAAAGGAAAAGCTTTCAACTTTTTCCCATTCAGATAGCTGTTTTTGATTTATTAACCCTGTATTCTGTGACCTTGCTAACCTCGTTCTTTTTAGATCTAGGAACTTTTTCTAGATGCTTTTGTATTTTCCATGTAGAAAATCATACAGTGTGCAAATAAAGACAGTTTGTTGTTTTCCTTTTCAACACATGTGCTATGCTTCTTTTTCTCCTTGCGATATTGCACCCGCCAGGACCTTCAGTACAGTGCTGAGTAGAATTAGTGAGAGCCAACACCCTTGCCTTGTTCTTGACCTTGAGGGGAAAACATTTCAAATTTTAAGTCTATTAGTGTGGGTTAACCTACATGTTTGTTCTTCATCGAGTTGAGGGAACTCTTTTTTACCACTGATATTTTGCTTTTTTTTCCTTTTAGCAGCAGAAGACTCAGAAAGTGGTGTTTACATGCGATTCATGAGGTCACACAAGTGTTATGACATCGTTCCCACCAGTTCAAAGCTTGTTGTCTTTGATACTACATTGCAAGTAAGTGTACCCAATTTTCATGAATTTTTGATATATTATTTGGATGGCTACTTTATACGGCAATTTAAATCCAGCAATGCCAACGGACGTTTATTGAGTCCTTTCCATACATCAGACACTGTGCTGAGGTTTTGTCTGAATTCTCAATTTCCATGACAGTCTTATAAGGAATGTACTGTTACTGTCCTCTTTCTACAGATAAGGAAACTCAAATTCTAGAGTTTAAGAACTTAGGTCGCAAAGCTTAATCCACAAATTCTAGAGTTAAAGGACTTAATCCACAGAGCTGGTGTGCAATGGGATCTGGAATTTGAACACAGGTCTGTCTAATGTGTCAGAGCGTAAGCTATTAATCATTAAACTGCACTGCCTCCCTCAGTATATCCGGATGTTCTTTCTTGGTTATTTAGTAGAATACATAATAAATAGATTTGAAATAGATATTGCCTAAAAAGAAGAAAATTACTAAGGTGGATAATCTCTTGAGAAAGAACTTTATTCTGCAAAAAATTTGAACCTGATCATTTGGGTATTTAATTGTGCTTATTAAAGTTCACTTTATATCGATCAGTATGACTTATAATCATGTAAGAAAAGTCCTGAATAATACACTCACTATAATGATCAAACTACATTCAGTGTAATAAAAAATGTATGTGCACAGATATACACATATATGCATGTATACATTTAGTATATTATTTCTATATAAATCATTATATAGAAATTAACAAACCTAGTAGGATTGTCTTCAGTTGAGAAGATTCTGAGTCAGGACTTCACGGGTAAGTGGCTTGTGAAGGATGTGCTCCCAGGAGAAAGTACGAAGGGATGGGAGGAGGACGGGCAGGGAGGAAGCCAGCGAGGGCGTGGTGGAGGGCAGTCTCAGCCTGGCCCCCAGGGGACTCTGGCCTGTAAGGACCCTTGAGTGTGTCTCAGCCTCTTCTCTTCTCTGCATTGGTTGATCCGCCCAGGCTCTTCCAGCTCCGTCCAGCCCCTCAGTCCCGCCAGCCCATTCTTCCCTGCTGTGCTCTGCCTCTGCCCCCACACACGCCCCCATACACGGGGGCGGACCCTCTGGAGGGCTTCCTGGGCTTTCCCAGCCACTTTGCCTGCAATCTGTGCCCGCCACATAGGACTCACAGGAAGACAAGAATGGTGTTGCTTTGTTTAGTTTCAGTTTCCAATTGTGTCGATCTGTCCTTCTGGCCATCTCAGTCATGATAAAGCAGAGATCAAACATACAGCTGGAAGCTCTCCCACCAGGGGGGTTTTCATCACCAGTGTCCCCGGGAGCCACGCTGTGCAGTGCCAGCAGGGACCAGCCCAGCAGGAGAAGCACCTGTAAACCAAGTTTTTTCCCTGTGGGTCAGTGTTTCACAAGGAGCTCCCTGGAAACTGTGGAAGTGGATCGAGGGAGGGAGGCGAGGGTGTGGACACCGGCATCAGAGCAGCTGGGTCACCTGCTCGTGCGGCTTCCTTGTCCTTTACGGGCCTGGGTAAGCCCCATTCCACCTGCTGAGAGAGTGCTGTGTCCACACACAGCCCTCGGCGTGGGGGTTCAGACAGTACCGCGCCTGTGATGGGACAGGTTGCGTGGTCACTTGGCATCTCACAGCCAGTTGTTTAGTCTCTGCCGGGGCCCAGTAGTAAGCCAGGAACCGTCTCCCAAAAGGAAAATAATTACCTACAGGAAAGGACATTGTTGTTTTGGGGGCTTTAGAGTCACTCAGCACACCGGTCGAAGTCGCACATGCAAATGTACATGTTGCTTCCAAAAGACCTGCCAGTGTTGTGTGCTGGCAGGTGGTGTTCAGAGCACGAACTTGAATTTCACCTTGGAGAGGTCTCTCCAGTGCTCCGGGCCGTCCTGAGGTGTCAGAGCCCTGCCTCCTGTGGGGTCGGTCCCTCACCCTCTGATCTGCACGTCTCACAGAGGCGTCTGGAGCTCTGCTACTTCCTGCCCATCCGGCACAGCCAGCATGTGCCGTCGGCACAGTGGGCCAGTGTGGCCGTGCGCAGAAGGTGAGGGTGATCAGCTTCTCTGCGGACCACAGTAAGACAGAGCGGGGGGCGAAGAACCTTGTGACGTGGGAAAATGTGTGGTCGCCAAGTAAAGCAGACTGCCTCTAGGGGCCCTTGTAAGTCAGTGTAGAGAAAGAGAGTGTATGTCTGGGCAGTGGCTTTGGTTCCCCCAAGATGTTACCTACATCAGGAAGAGCTGCTGCAGCTACAAGTTTACAATAATCTACAGTCCTCAAAGATGCAGCCACAGGCCAGATGGGCAGTTTCCCTGGGGCTGTGATGGTGAGCCCCTGCCCTCAGGTTCTTCCACAGGCACCAGCCTCTGCACTTCCCCCACTGCATTTGGTTTGCCAGCCTGGTGACTCTGAGTCAGAGAGCCAGTGGAAGATCCTGCCATCTCTCAGGTGTGTCATTTCCAATCATACACTCAGGAACTGAGGAGAAGAGCTGGATGTGGTGGCGCCTGTAGTCCCAGTAACTCCGGAGGCCAAGGCAGGAGGATTGCTTGAGCCTAGGAGCTTGAGACCAGCCTGGGCAACATAGCAAGACCCCATCTCTAAAAAAATAAATGAATAAAATAAAAAATAAATAATTTTTTTAAAAAAGGATTGAGGCTTGGTACCAATCACAAGAGGAAAAAAAGAAAAGGACTGAGGAGATAACCAAAGCATGGGACCTGCTGCACTCTGTGATTCAAACTTGAGCTGAGACTCTGAGACTCTGTCACCCAATGGCCACAGTCCCCACTTTGATCAGCAGACTGCAGTGGCGTGTGGATTCTCGGGTTCTAGGAATCAGTGTCCATTCAGACCTGGTGTCCAGGAGCCCTGAAAAGCCTACATTTCTTTTTACAAGTCCCTTTGGAAAAGGCTCGGAGGAGGAGGCACAGGACGTTCGGGGCCAAGCTGAGGGCTGCTTCCTCTGGGCTCTGCGAGCTGGCTCGGGTCTGGAAACCGGCCAGAGGACACCTCTCCAGTTCGATGATTCAGGCCAGGTTTTTGGCCCCTACACTTGAGATTTCATTTTAGAAGGCTGTGCAGCTACTTCATTTTTGGAACATAGCAATCAATTAGCCACCACCAGTGATCCCTGCGGGTCAGACCATTCTAACTGTCACTTCTCTGGGTTGCCCTTGATGGCACGTGTGCCTGCCCTGCTGTGGGCAGCAGCACCAGCACTTGCCCCTGCTACGGGCACGTCGTTCCCATCCAGATCGGTGAGGCCAGCCCATGCGCTGTGTCCCACCGTGTGCCTGGCCTTACGGGGCACAGAGTGAAGGGGCACCCTTGCTCGAACATTCCCCAGAGGCCCAGCGAGGGAGTGTCTGTCCTCTGAGCGTTGAGTGTGCAGCTTGCACATGGTGAATCTCCAGCGCCCCATCTCCTGTGCCTGTGCGTTCCCTCTTCTCACCTGGGCCACTGTCCTGGCACCTCCGCCTCGTGGAACGTGGCCTCAGCAGTGCCCTGCATCTCAGTCCACCAGACGAGCGGGGAGAGCCGCTGCCACTGCGTGCACTAAATGCGAATGAAACTTTTCTGGAAAGCCCACCTGTAGCAATCAGCTCTACCAAATCCATGTTAAATTCCTCCTCTAACGTTATTAGAGCCTGTTCCCACGGATACTTCCTAGGTTTCTGCAGATACGAAATGGCAAGATCTTACAGTTCTTTCCGTATACGTTTCCTCCTCTGCTGTGTGCTGAAACCTGTCCCTGCGTTACAGGTCAAGGGCAGCAAGGGAGGTTGGGGCTGCCTTGGGGAGAGTGACAGGCCCATGTAGGCATCACCCCAGGAAAGCCAGTCACTGGGCTTTCAAGCAAAGGAAGGTGGTTCTCAGACACTGGAGAGTCAGCTGTTCCCGCTGCCATGAGAGGCCCAGAGTAACTCCGGAATTCAAGAATCTTGCCTTTGTCTGAGTCCAACCAGATGTCCCTGTGCCAGGTGCAAAGATCCCCTCCTTCCAGATCAGTGCCCGGCTTTCATACGGTGTGTCTGCATCCTGCAGTTATATTTCGAGTTTAATTTTGGAAACATCAGCCCTGTAGCTACAAGAAATAAGAGATTCTCTTAGGGCTGCCACAGAGGCTCTTTGGTTCTCTGACCGAGCCTGCCGGGCTCTCTGAGTGCTCCAGCACCCACGGGACTCCTCCCACACCACGTCCTGTGGTCCTGGGCTCTGCCTCCACGGCCGGTGCAGCAGCCACTTGGGCCCTGGCACCCAGTGGCTCTGGGGGTGTCATCACACTCACAGATGACGGTTAGTCACAATGACACAGCTTACCCTGGATTACAGGAATCTGATTTCTCACCGACAGAGAGCCCGAGGGCAGGAAACCAATCCCAAATGCTCTTTCCAGGAGCCACTGCTGGTGCCACTTGCTCTGCCAGTCAGGGTCCAGTCAGGAGACAGAAGCCACACCAGTTATCTGAACAAAAAATTAATATAAACAAATGGTCATCGGACGTAAGCTAACTGGATAACTGAAAAGATAAATAAAGACCTTTAAGGCAGTGTTCTCAAAGTCTGGTTCCCAGCCCAGCAACTTCAGCATAAGCTGAGAACAAAAATGTAGATTCTTGGGCTCATCCCAGACCTACTGAATCAGAAACTTGGGGGCGAGGGCCAGCAGTCCGTGTTTTACTGTGACTCTGAGGGACTCAAATGCACTCTCAGGTGCCACGGAGGTAAGAGGGGCCCTGGGGCCTGCCTTCTGGCAGGTGCTTGTGTCTCTGGGCAGGAGTAGGGGCTCGAGGAAGCTCATTCTGCACATGATGGAGACAACAGACTAGATTCTGCTGCTGCTGCGGGAGAGAAGCAGGCGCCCTGGTAAGGCAGCGCCCAGGTGTGGTTCATGGGCAGCAGGGAAGAAGCACTTCCCTGCCCCAGCGGTGAGTCCCTTGCCAGCCTCCTTTCCTGCTGGAGCCTGAAGTGGAGCCAGCCAGCAGCGCCAGGATGTGGTCTGTGAAGTCCCGAAGT